CCCCAAACCCCCAAAACCCCAAAACCCCAAAACCCCAACATTCCACCCACCAATTGAACCTTTAGTATACCAGGCACTAATCATTCTTCAAGGATATGAATTCTAGGTTCTACATACCAGATTCTGAGTTCTCAAATCATCTAATTTTCCTTCTGTTATCTTTTAACCTGGCGCTATTGATCTTTTCTGAAAGGTTGCTTAACGAGATGCTTCTTTTATTGCTGAAGTTTATAGACTTATATACCTAATATTACTGCTCATGCGATCGGCTCCTTTGTAATACCTATGGGTCACCGATTTAGTCATACAAAGTATCGCTGCTCTCGATTCCTCATATTAGATTATCCTCGTACTGAAAGGGTTTCCTCTGATCTTGGGATCTATACCTAGCCTTGTTCATTATTTTATTCCTGAATTCTGAGGCTCTAAATTTGTGAATTATTTCACTGGTAATTCGTCATTTCCGAATTTAATTTGCAGCCACAAGAACAAAATTTTGAGCATTCGAAAATATTAAGTGAAATTTTAAATTTTATTTATTTCTGTAAAATTACTTATAACTTTACCATACTTTCATTTAGTAGTTATTTCCATGAAATCATTTTTATTTACTATATCTACTCTTATCTTTCATAATATATGGGTTAATCCTGGATCTTTTGAAGCCTAGATTTCACACACACCCATAACGTACCTATAAATAACTGATTATTATCAATCTTCTCTCATAAATTAGATCCTGGTCTTCATAACTTACCTTCGAACACAGCGCTGGGCTGCATACTATCTCTAAACCTCATGCGTTCTAAAATCTTACTCTGTTCAGAAGGGTTGTATCATTTTCTTTTCTTTACGTTCCTCCTTGAGGTTTTGAGGTTTCATCAGATTGCTTAACAAAAGATGACTAGGACTTGTTCGAGATTTATTTGAAAATTTGGTCGAGATTTCTGTTGTGGGGGTTGTATTTGGAACCAGAGCCTTGCCAGGCTTTACTTAAAACCCTCTGTCTCTGCCACAAATGATTCCTATTCCCTTGCTCTCCCCTTTCCCCACTCTCATCATCTCCAAACCCCCTTAATTTCATTCCACCTCTAAAATTTATAACAATCCCTCTAAACCCCCACGGGGTTTTGGGGTTTTGGGGTTTTGGGGTTTTGGGGTTTTGGGG